GTACCCCTAGACACTCCCCTTATGCTGCCCTATAAGATCTCTATGCATATGCTTCAAGCTGTCTTTCTAGCCATCCGCCATGGTGGATGGATGGAAAACCCGAGCTAACATGGGGTTAGCTCGTTAAACAACAATAAAGCCTCGCACAGTTTGCATCAAGCTTTCGACTCTGTTTGGTGATTGGGGTGGCCGAGGTGCTGGGCTGAGATCCTGGAAGCCTGAGCTTTCCGGGGGGTCTTACAATACTTCATCTTAAACCAAAGGTGCTGGTAAAGTATTCCTTTCCTATTGTCAAAAGTTTTTAGCAAGCTGGGTGTGATGGCACATACTTTTAATCCCAGCACTCAGGAGGTGGAGGCAGAGGCAGGTGGATCTCTTTGAATTCAAGGCCAGCCTGGTCTACAGAATCAGTCCCAGAATAGCCAGGGCTACAGAGAGAAACCCCGTTTCCAAAAAAACAAAACAACAAAAAGAGTTGATGCAGGAGAGATTGTTCAGCTGGTAAGGGCACATGCTGTTCTTGCAGAAGACCCGATTTGGTTCCTATAACCCACTTCAGGTAGCTCAAACTTCCTGTAACTCCAGACCCAGGGGATCTGATGCTCTCTTCCGGCCCTGCATAGAGACCTGTATTCATGTATACACACACACACACACACACACACACACACACACACACACACACACACACCACACACTACATAATAATAGAAAAATTAGCAGTTATATCTTTTTTTGGTATGTCATCCAATACATGAATCGATGAGCTCATTAATCACTTCATGTTACAAAATTAATCTGTAACTTTTGACCTGCCTATTATGTGCAAGGCTCTCATGGAGATTTTGTGTTAAGATTCAACGACTCATTTACTCTTTCACTAAGGTAATCCCTTATGTTATTTAAATTACTTTTTTTTTTTTTTTTTTAAATCTAGAAGAGGTTGTCTCTTTTACCCACATCAAACATGGTAGAAAAAGCTTCAACCTGACCTCATGGGCCCTCAACAAAGATGGCTACCACACTTCCTGATCTTGCCCTCAACAAAGATGGCTACAATACTTCCTGTCCAGGGCTTTTGCCTGAAACAAAGATGGTGTTTTCGGTACAGGATCCCTAACAGTCTGTTGGTTTTTGTTTTTTTTTTTTTTTTTTTTTTTTTTTTTTTTTTTTAAAGATACGTGGTCGCAGACGTAAGTAGCAGGACTCCATCTTCTCTCGAAATCCCCGCGCTGTGGCGACATCGCCCCTGCGCGGCTCTCTCGGTTCAGTTGGCTCTGGTCCCCGAGCTAGTCTAGGCTTTGGGTGGCGGTTTCCCCCGTGAAGATCATCGCGCGGCCTCTTGTACCCCGAGCATCGCCGGGAGTGCTTCCCGTGTGTGACACAGCGACGGCTCTCAGTTGCCGAGACAGGGAAAGTTCCAAATGGAAACACGCGGCGGAGGGTGGACACCCCCTCCCCGCCGGCCACCTCAGGACTTTGCGGAGGCTTGTGAGGAAGGTTGGGATCCGGTGTCCCCCTTCTGTGCTCCGCGGGCGTCCGAAACCCTACCCGACACCCATGCTGGCCCCTCTTTCCCCTCCCATTTCCTTCAATGCCACCACACAGCCACCTGTGCTCATTAAACGCCCCATACTGCACTGTGACCCAGGTCCTGCATTCCCTCCTGTGACTTTCTGTAAATAAGGCTAATTGTAAAAGGCACACAAATACTTTCTTGAACGCGCTGGTCTTTTCTGAAAGAAAGATCCTTAAACTCATTCTGATGTCTAGATTGCCCTCCCCACCCCGCTCCCCTACTCTCCACCTCCCTACCCCTCTTTCGAGGTAAGGGTCTATAATGCCCCTGGCCATTTTAGCAGTTACTGCAGTGTGGGTGCTGGATTGAACGATGAAATTAATATTAAATTAAAATCCATTTTTTCCCTAGCATGCTAAAATTAATTTCCAGGGATTGCATTTTAAGTAAGGTCTCAGATCTGTTTTCTGTTGGCTCTCTTACTGAAAGGAATTGTAGTAGGACCCCGCTATGTGGAAAGCAGGGAGAAATGGATTCATAATTAGTGTTGTCCATATGCTGGGAAGTGTTTGAAATGAACTTGATTCGGTTTAGCAGCCATGTAGGAAACACTGTGGCTTGGCACAGTGATATGAACGTCTGACTGACCTTGAGATGCTCACTAATGATGTTGCAGCAACACTATCTTTAGGGGGTCCATCAGCATTCCTGTAACCCGAGTGCTGATTTTGTTTCTTTCCAGGGAGAAATGGATGCCAGAGACAAGCAAGTGCTCCGCTCTCTGCGTCTGGAGCTGGGTGCGGAGGTCTTGGTGGAGGGACTGGTCCTGCAGTACCTCTACCAGGAAGGGATTTTGACAGAAAACCATGTTCAAGAAATCAAAGCCCAAACCACAGGCCTCCGGAAAACAATGCTGCTGTTGGATATCCTGCCTTCCAGGGGCCCCAAAGCGTTTGATACCTTCCTAGATTCCCTCCAGGAGTTTCCCTGGGTAAGAGAGAAGCTGGAGAAGGCAAGAGATGAAGCCACAACTGAGCTCCCTACAGGTAGGCCTGAAAGAGATCACTTCAAAACAGCTCTGGAATTGTCCAAACTGTGCCCTTTGGATTGAAAGTTGGGTGTTAAGGGGGACGGGGGCTATTGGCTCTTGAACAAATGGGCAAGGAATTTGAACGGAAAGAACATGGCATTGGAGGGGCAAACATGAGGAGGTGGTGTTAAGAAACTCAAGGGAGGCCAGAAATGGAAGGTGAGCCATAAGTCTGGGAGGTTAAGGAGGGAGCTCAGAGGACAATTTAGATCTGCTTCCAGGGAAACCTGGCAAGTTACTTGTGAGGCATGTTCTCTGCGTTCTCCGAGGAGAGCCAGGTCAATCTGAGCCCTTTGGCAACAGGAGCCATTTGTGAAGTGCAGATGGGGAAACCAGGCTTTGGCCTTCTGATAGATAACTGATTTGTGGGGTGCCAAGCTGCCAGCTGGAGAAGGTCAGATCATGGAGACAGCCTCTAGGAAGGCATGCCTTGCACCTGTTCCTTCAGCCAGCCTGTGAGGCCTAGAGGATTAGTCTGAAGCTTGCTTTGGTCTCTCCCGCCCAAGGCTATTGGATTAACATGGCCTTTTAAAGTTAAGATTTGTTCGGACATCAGACACCTGGGGCATTTTGTTTTGCAAGGGCAGTAATTTGGGGGAGAATATCATTTTCCTTTTCAAGAAGAATTGGAAGTTGGGGTTTTAAAAGAAACAGTTTGGTGCTGTAAGGCTGGTCGTGAGGAAGGAGGTGTGTGTGTGTGTGTGTGTGTGTGTGTGTTTGTGTGTGTGTGTGTATAGAGCTGTCCCTTTAAGTCCTCTAATAAATACTGCTGTTTACAATGATTGGGGAACAGAGGGCTGACCTAGAAAGGCTACTTTTTTTTTTTTTTTTTTTTTTTTTTTAAAGAAGATAACTGAAAGGTGACGAAGTCAGCTGATCCAAACTGAGTTAGCATATTTCCAGAGTTAAGAATTCAACATTTTCTGAATTTTTGATAAAGATACAGGACCAAGTCAGTGGTCTTCAGAATTTATTGCTATTGTTTTTTTTTTATTTTATTTATTATTTATTTATTTATTTTTTTAAATAACTGTAACAGAGTGCATGTCCTTAGTCTCAGCTCTCGGGAGGCAGAGGCAGGTCGATCTCTGTGAGTTCGAGGCCAGCCTGGTCTAAAGAGCAAGGTCCAGGACAGCCAGAGCTACATGGTGAGACATAACTAACTGGTTAAAGAAACCAAATGCTACTAGTAAATTACTTCTATTATTTTTTACACCATGGGTCTCATATTTTGAATGATTTCAAGACCACATGTACTAAGTAATCACAACTAATTCTTTTTTCACTGATGACATATATCTGGATATCTGACCAGTATGGGACATCCAGTTAATTTAGAAAGACCTGGTAAACATTTAGTGGGAAACCTAAAAATATCTTTATTCCTAACTTGTCCAAATTACATGTCTTCTTCAAACAGTGAAAATGCTGGCTTTTGAGGGCCTCTAGAATTTTTCAGCTTGGGTTGTCTTTAGAAAATTACATATTCCATGTGTTTGAACTAAACCAGGGTAAATATCTTAGGCATTCCTACCACTTTATTAAAAGCAGAGTATATAACATAGAGTTGGGGAGGTGTCAAAAATGATTTCTGCTTTTCTGGTATTCACTTAGAGCAGTGGTTCTCAACTTTCCTAATGCTGCGACCCTTTAATACAGTTCCTCATGTTGTGGCAACCCCCCCCCAACCAAAAGTTAGTTTGTTGCTACTTCATAATTTCAATTTTGCTACTGTGATGAATTGTAATGTAGAAATCTGATATGCAGGCTATGTGACCTCCAAAGAGATCGTGACCCACACGTTGAGAACCCCTGACTTAGAAGGTCTTCCTGGCTACATGTAGTTGGAAATGACAAAACAACCAAAAGCCTTTCCCTCTCAAAACATTTAGTTTAATTATGTGATTATTTTGGGTAACATAAATAGTTTTGTCATGAATTGTCCTAGAAATGTGACTCTCATTTTCCATTTTTTCTGATTTATTCAGAGAGCAAGAGAGAATTAAGTTTTTTTCCATTTGTACATGGGTAACGCACTGTATTAAATATGTAAGGTCTTAAAAAAAAAAAAGAAGGGATTTTGGAGAGCCCATCCCATGTGAAGGGATGCTCTCTTGACCTGGACACATGGGGAAGGTCCTAGGCCTGGCCTAGGATGATGTGGTAGACTTTGGGGAGCCCCTTTTGAGGGCCTTACCCTGCCTGGGGAGTGGAGGGGGGATGGCTAGGACAGTTGGGATGTGGGGGGAGGGGAGGGAGAGAAAGAAGGGATTGATAGATGAAGCAAGCTTGTTCCTAATTTGAACTAATAAAATAAAAAAAAAATAGCCAGGCGTTGGTGGCACATGCCTTTAATCCCAGCACTCAGGAGGCAGAGGCAGGCGGATCTCTGTGAGTTCGAGACCAGCCTGGTCTACAAGAGCTAGTTCCAGGACAGCCTCCAAAGCCACAGAGAAACCAAAAAAAAAAAAAAAAAAAAAAAAAAAAAAAAAGAGAGAATTAAGATATCGTCAACAAATTATGAAAGTGAGAGAGAAGTTGAAGGGAAAGTTCTTCTTACATATATCTATTTATTTTATGTGTAGGAGTGAGTGTTTTGCCTATGTGTATGATGAGCACTGTGTGAGCCTGGTCCCTGTGGAGGGAAATGGGGGGCACCAGATCCCTTGGAACTGGAGTCATAGATGGCTGAGAGCTGCCATGTGGATGGAAACTAGGTCCTTTGCAAGAGCAGCCAGTGCTTTTAACCCCTGGGCCCTCTGTCTAGCCTTGAAAAGTAGCTTTTAAAAGGGAAGTAAAATGAGGCAGTGTGTGGTGAGCAAAAAAAAAAAAAAATAGAACATATCTTATACAAGCTTAGAAAACTAGGTTTCCTGAAGATTGACTCTGTAGAAAGGTCGAGTAGAAAGCTGGGTTGGTTCTAGAACAAATGAGTGATGTGCATTGTCTTTTGTTTTTGTTTTTTTCACTGCTAGTGAAAAAAATTCTGTTGTTGGGGGTTTGATTTATTGATTTCTCAGTGACAGTTATATAAACTCATTTTAAAATATTGCTGCGGCTAAATATTGACTATTTTAGGTAATACTGAAAATATATGTAAGGTGCAGAGACTAATGGTACAGTTAACACCCACCTTATATTTGCTTTAAAGAAAGTGACAGTCCATTCGGGGTTAGCTCTCTCTTTGGTGCTTACAGATAGGTGAGCTCTCAGCAACTGTGGCAGTTTTGGCAGTACCATGCCTGCCTGTCTGCTGCCAGGCTTCTTGCCGTGATGGTCATGGGCTCTAACCTTCTAGAACTGTAGCAAGCCCCCAATAAACTCTTTCTTTATAAGAAAAAAAAAGTGACACTACAATTGTCTTTGAGAAGCTGTTATTCCTAATACACCATGGTTTTGAGGTGTATTAGTGTCTTGTCCTCATTTGCAGTTTTCTAGCTCAGATAAATCACTTTAAAAATCCATATTGATTATTGAAAATCTATTATGCCACATGGTCTGGTGGTAAATGTGTATGCCTATAAATTGTGTGTGTGTGTGTGTGTATGTGTGGGAGTGAGGATGGAAGAAATATACTTTAAAGGAGTTAATACTTAATTGTTTTCTGTTATGTAAGACAGATTTTTTAAGTTTAATTTCATGAAAATATGATTTTAAAATTAAATTGAGACAGTGAATTGGAAGCTTGTGTGGGTCTTTTTGGGAGAGGATAAGGGAGGCTTAAAGCCATGGACTGACATCAAAACTGAATTGCCTTCTAACTTAATGGCCCTGGAGGGAAAGCAAACAGAGCCAGAGGCCTGTTTTCTGGGACCTCGGGGTTTCTCTAATATGGAGTCGGGACAGTGTGAGTGAGTGGGCTTTGCTGTAGCTTACTTTTGTTTTTGTAAAGGCATCTTGGATTCTGAGAACTAGATTCAAGGAGAATAGGGTGTCCATGAGGCGCACACACAGTAACCTTTTCTTACTTTTCCTCATGTTGGTTGTAATTATTCATAGGGTTTGGTGCCCTGCCCTTGGGAAGCCTTGGGAAGCAATGGTAAGGAGTGGCTTCCTCTTAGCCAAGCAATTGGTTCTTCCTCAAGAATGAACTGACTTTATTTTACTACAGTTTTCTGCTGTGTTCCTTTGGGAGAGTCTCGGTTTTCCCCTTCTTTGTGTATTTAATTTCTGTGTTTCATTTCTACATTTTGAGCTGCGTCAGACATTTGTGTGTGTGTGTGTGTGTGTGTGTGTGTGTGTGTGTGTGTGTGTGTGTGTGTTTTGTCTTAGTTATTTGCCTTTGTATATATGCTGAATGTAAGATTTAGAGCAAAATTGAGTTGTATCTCATTCTCTACACTTCTAACTTCCATTCCTCAGCAAATCCACAAACATAAAAGAACAACAACAACAAAAATACCTGAAATCTTGTGATTATATCTCAGAATTCCCTTTGGTCTCCTAATCTCTACTTTAAAAAACAAAGTATAAAAGTCCAAGATGCAAGAGGATAATTGGTTTGTGTTTCCTCACTCCACAAGGACTTTTACCTTTTAAAAGAATTCTGCCGATAAAATGACTTAATCCATTTGGCACAGTGGAAGGAACACTTCGCAGTTCATTGCTATGGCCAAGGTCACACACTAGACATTAGATCAGCTGGAAGTCCTTTCTGGACTCTTGCTGGGTCACTTTAGGAGACAGGACAGTGCTGGGTGTGGTGAGAGCCTGTGACTGGTGGCCTGGTTTCTCTGCCTGGTAGGCCTGTCTGTGCCCAGCTCTCTCTGGTGCCTGAGCTAAGCTCACTTGGAAACAGCTATTTCTGAAGCCCTGGCCTCACTATCTGATAGGACTCGGTGTAAGCATGGTAGAGTGGCTGCTGGGCCACAGGACTCTCTGTTCCATCTTGTTTGCCCCAGGCTGGCTGTGGGATGACATCTTCCACATGGTTCTCTCTTAAACAGCCTTGCCGGT